ATGTACCTGTGAGGTTAGGTTTAGAGTCAGGTATGTACCTGTGAGGTTAGGTTTAGAGTCAGGTATGTACCTGTGAGGTTAGGTTTAGAGTCAGGTACATATCTGTGAGGTTAGGTTTAAGGTTAAGGGGTCATGTTTAGGCTGTAGAAATGACTGGAAAATCAATGGAAGTCAATGCAAAGTCCCCATGAGGATAGAAAAACCAGCATGTGTGATACACAAGCACACTGTTGAAATGAGATCTCCTGGATTTTCATGGTCACTCTCCATTTGATGATAATTAACAGTAAGAAAAGTGTGAAAGAAACAGATGCTGCCAACTTCAGCAGATTGTGCATGGGGAGACGCTTAAAGTCAAACTGTGGGAGTCAGCTCACACGTTGGCAGTAAAAAAGCTAAAGGTAAAGATGGAAATATAGGTTTATAACTTTGATTCTTAAAAAGAAATAATGCACTATTAACTGTTACTGTGTTCAAACTTTTAACCTCACAGAAACATGGATGCTGGTGCCTCCCAACTCATCTTTCAGAAAGACACTCCATGCAGCACAGTGGAATCATGTACCATTACGGTGACGGAGGTAAGGGAGAAATGTCGAGCCAGCTGCCATGGGTGGTAATGAGGGGATACTTGTGAGTGTTCTTGAAGGGTACATACAGTACTGTTTCAATGTGGAAAGTGGTTCCATCTTCCAGGAAGAAAGACCTGCGTCAGACATACTGAAGGAGGGAAGTATTATGTTGCACCTCATCCTTATTAAATCTCCAGATACAGAGCTGTGCTCTCCTAATGGCTCACACATCACACACAGATGGGCTGTTTACTGCTTAAAGTCCAAACTGAAGTCTGTTTGCATAAAGGGAAATGACTGCAGGAAGAAAATTACATTTGATGTGCTTCTGAGCAGATATTAGCTGTCTGCAGGTACTAAAAGTTCTGAAAATGTCATCATTCTGCTTTGGACACCTTCTGTAGGAAACATTCCTCTTAGATGTTTGCAGGGGATGAACCTTTTTCATTTTACAGTCCAGATTAGAAAAAACTGGGGGTGGGGGGGTATGTATTTTCACAGTTTAATTCTATACCACAATCAAGTAACTCTGTTACCTTCAGCTGTCATGAAAAAACAATTTTTATCAAAAGTAAATTTGACTTTGTATCAAAGTCTATCTAAATGCTTTGAAACTGGCCCATGTCTCTTTAAAGAGTAACTTACCCCAAAATTAACTTTTTTAGCTGATAAACTGTCTAGAATGTGT